TTCGTTAGTATGATGTGTATCAGATCGTCCCACTAGCCGTGAGTCGAGCGTGAAGTAACATCTGGTGTGTTTGAACGAATGCCAACAGCTGCATCGTTGGCGGTATTAATCCTCAGTCCATTTGTGGCTGGAAACCGGACTGCACTAGCTTGCGACTTTTATACCAATTATTGTAGCACAGTTTTTAAAATTTTCGTCGCAGCTTGTTGATTCTTGTTGCTCAGTAATAAGAGTGTTGTTTTACGTGATTTGAAACGAGTACGAGTAACGGTAAACGAGTGGGCGGACCTGATGGCAAGCAACTGGCGCTAGATTACAATTGCATTGCCGTCCTTTTTGGGAATGGGATTATGGATATACAGATAAGCGAGGGAAAGGATTGGGCCTCCAGTACCCTTACACGGTGAATAACGCTGATTTTCTATGAAGCTGTGGTATCACTCCGGGCGAGTCGATCTATTTGTACCAAAGCATGGCTCATCTATACTTAAACATTCTCTTTGTCATAGAAATCAACCAATGACATTAAACATATGTATGTTGGGAATACGTTATGTAAATGCGTAAGCTGCGTTAGCCTTGCTTCTTTTTTATTCAAGTATAAAAAGTGCTGACGTCATCGTTGATATGACGACAGATGCAGAGATAATTAATAGAGCCTACATTTTTCTGGGGTAGTTTAATTCTGTCACAGCAGGAAATACAAATATAGTTAATAAACATTTACTACATAGAAGAATGGACAGAATTTGAAATGTGTCTAGTTTTGACTTATAACATAGCTGCGGATTCTAGCCAACCATTCACGAAATAAAAGTCGTGTTATTTTGTTAAGCAGCTCAGTTTTAAAACGAAATTTATCATGTGTTTAATAATGAACCTGTCAAATGATTGAAAGAAAAAATTACCTGATTTAAAAAAAACAAGAGAATACCAATCCCATCGAAATAGATTACGGCTATCAAATATTATTAATATTTAGACAAACAAGTTAGCTAATTCACTGGACAGGCTCTGAAAACTAAATATAAACACAACTAAACAGAATTTAAAACTAAAAGTAAGATGGCCGGATTACTCTGAGTTATTAAGAGAAAATTAAGTAAGGTCACTTTGTGGGAACAAGCTTTTTTTAGAAAATACAACAAATTAAGCATTGCTCAACATGTTCGAAGTTACTTTTAATTTTTATATATAAATATAGTCCTTTTTAGATCTACAAGGACACATATAACAATTATTAATTTTATTCATAAAAATCTCGTTATGAAAATGACTTGGTAACTTGTAGGATTTGTTTTATCAATTCTACAAGATTATGCTTGCAATTAGCGATATTTTATTATTAACTATTCTATTTTGTGACTTATAAACCAACAGATACTTTTTTTTTTTAAATCCTCATGGAGACCCACCACCCTCGGGGAAGGGCGAAGGGTACTGTCAGACTCATACTGACTAAAAACCAACCCGGTGTTCCTCCACTTACCCATGTGTCAGAGGGGCGGGTATCGCCGAAGCATTCGTTGCATCCCCCCGACGGGAAAACCAACAGATACCTAAGACTAAAAGAACTCTTTTCTTTACATTTTCTTTCTCCCTAATATAAGTAAATTTATATTATTAGTCTTTATTTCGCTGAAATAACGTAACTTCTAGAAAATTATGTCATCGATTACAATTTTACGTTTTTATTATGTGTTAAATAGCATTGTTACTCAAAGTTAGTGGAGCGAGGGTCGCATAAATTCGGTAGCAGGTTGATATGTAAGATTTATGTGTAACCACGCGAAGGGTTGAAATTGAAAAGGCACCTGTACAAAAATCGCTCACCAACCCTTTTGTGTATCGTAGTTCATGACAGGTCCATTTTTTAAACGAAGATTCAATTATGTTATATTTTTACGTGATTAAATTTTGGTTTGCGTAGGTAGGCTTGTGTTCGAAAATATTTTCATTTGTATGAGCGTCGATGTTTTTTTTTGTTTCTAGAGGCTTATGTTTTGAATGTTAAATTTTATTAATAACAAAGAGTTTAACAAAGAGTACACCATAAAAAACATTAAAAAAACAAAATATGAGGACAATCTTGATTGTTCAGAAATACTCGTCAATCGCCAACGTTAGTTTTAAATTGCTGGGGATGTAGGGCAATCGAAATAAGGTACAGTGGCCTCGGTCTAAAGAAGGAGAAAACACATAGGGATTTTGAAACAGGAAGAGTCTGACACTCTTTCTCGCCGCCCTGTACCCTGGGCCCCGATATTGCGTATTTTTTTAAGCGTGATGTTCAATGAAACACATCTAAAATAATTGTTTTTACCGCCCAACTGGCACACGTGTCTTCGACATAACCAAAATGTATTATGCCCACGTGAATTTCGATTCTTGTGTGTGATATGCTACCTTCTTGAGAGTTGCCTTCAATATCGGCTGGAGTATCGAAACTTTGATCGTACCCACTGAAGCTTATCAAATTCTACCCTGTTATGTACTAAGTCCTTCACTTTCCGTAATTTTAATAGACCCATCAAACCTTATTGAATACTTACGTCGAAACACCGTGTACCTTTGATCGTTATTGGATTATTTCTCTCATGACCTGTAAAGTCATGTGTTGTATTATTTAGATTAGGAACATGGAAATAAGGCTTATATTTCTATGACTATGATGTTAGGTTTAGTAAAGGAATGATTAAACAATAACTTTATATTAAATAATATTTTTATAAAATCCAAATTTTCTTATAAGTAAGTTAAGAATTTAATATATTAACAAAGAGACTATGAGACAGTTCAAGATAGAAATAATACCATTTTTAAAAAAGGAATTCAGAATTTTATACAATACATAAGTAAAAAGATTAACTATACTAACCTTATTTGAAACCAAGGTGAGATCTAACATCCAAAGGAATTTTAATTTTAACGAATAAGTGTAAGGTAGATATTGGAGTCCTTATACCGTTTCCATAGATTGTGGTCTACAAATCCAATTAATGTTCAGCAAAGTTCCTTTGGTAGGTTTTGGAGAGTATCCAACAGTTTCAATTGGTGATTGCCAACCGGTTTTACGTTATGTCGGTCCATTGCCACTAATTTAGTTTGGTGTCGTGAGAAGAAAGAGAATTGGTTGGTGATTACTTTGCATTTGCGACCGTCTTTGTTGCTTGTTAAAGTAGAATTTACTTTGGCTAGCTTCAAAAGGTTGGAACGTGTTTTCGGGGGTTATCTACTTGCGATTTTATGTCCATGTAATTTAAGTCGATAATTTTACCCTTATTTTGTCATTTTTAGGTTGATTTTACATAACACTAAGATTATTTATTTTAATTATATTAAATAAAATTATACTAAATTATATTTTTACGTTTGTCAGTACTTATATTCGATCGATTATGGCAATAACACTAAAGTGCGGCAAATAAATGGAACTGTCACTCATTTTTCTGATTGCCAATTCGCGTAAAGAGGTGTTTACAGTTGATTGAATTTGAATTTGGAATCAATATATTAATTAAGATCTTTTTTTTTAATATTTCCGTGGTAGAGTTGACAATAATGGCAATATAGAAGAAAGCTAATTGAAAGCATTCATACATTTTTAGGTTGATTAAAATGAAATTTGTGAATAAGCGCAGAGTATAATAGTTTAATGAATGTTTTCAAGAGATCAAGTGCAAATCAAAACATTACAAGACGAATGAAGACCAAAACACGCCATTCTAGATAAGGCATTATTGTTTATTGGATCGTGAGAAACATTTTATCTGTGCCTACACTTCTCTGTGGATGGAACACGGGGCTAACGACTTGGAAGTTTTCTTAGCTTTAAACCTCCTTTGATGTGGAAAAAGTTATTACTCTATTAAAAAGTTACTATCTCTCAAGAAAAATACTAGCGATATTAGAAAAAAACTAAATTATTATTATAACAAATTGAAACATATTATATATACCAACTTGAAATAAATAGAACATCGCTATTTAATAAAATGAAACCATACGAAGGCTGGTATGTCATATTTGCGTACATTATATCGGACGTATTATAGGAATATTTCTTAGATGAAGTATTTATCATAATATGACAAGACGTCAGCTCACATTGTTTACATAGATGTAGGTATTGTGTGTAATATACACGCTCCTTCAAATAATCCTCTATGTGGTTGGTATCAAAGGCATTCCTTCTTAGTAATCTAGTCACGTATTGCTCTATAGACGTTCATCATTTATTTAGTTTGTGTGAAACGTGGCTTTCTTGTAATGTAAATATAAGTAAATCTAGGTGGCACATATTTTGGAGCTTTGTTTACCACTCGTTACAATAACCCTAATCCAATAACACCTAAGATTTATTTAAGCGAAGCGGTGGTGGGACTCGTCTCTAATTTCCTTCACGTTCATCCTATTTCCTTCCCCAGGCGAGCGACGCCTTTCACCTCTGAGATGCATTTGCTCACGTGGAATCGAATACGAACCGCTTAGCTGCCTCACATAGGAACATGCTAACTTTCTTTTGAGAAAACTCGACCGTATTATATTTTGAATGTTTCCTTAAAGAAAATTGGGTCGCGCAGGCAACAAAGTTTACATGTTCCACCGAGGTATTCCTTTACCTCCTACCCACTGGTGTGCACATAAGCCGTCTTATGACCAAACCAGTGGAGCCCAACATCCACTAACGAAAACCGTGTTTGTTGCAGTAAAGTAATAAGTGTAACTACAAATATATTTTTGATGTAAACTAATTATCAATTTAATTCCGTCGAAGTACAAAGTATAAATTTTAAAAGTGTTAAAATTCAAATATAAATAGTTAAATAAAGTGAACTATAAAAAAAATATGATGTGTTGAACATAAAGTGCGAGAAAATGACTTTAGTGCGAACTATCAGTGATAAAGGACTGTTTCAAGTCGAAAGTGTTAACAATAAAACGATATGGGATGACTCATAGTGAAAAATGTTATATGCAACCCACTATCCGATCCGAAGATGATGCGCGATATCCACGACAATGCTGGGGCAGGCGCAAGCGGCGGGATGGAGGAAAGCGAGGACGGCGGGAATGGGGTTGCAGAGGTCGATATGGACGAATGCGGCTCCCTCGCGCTTCCTCCCGACCTGCCCCCCTACTCCGGCGACTACATCATCAGCGACTACATGGAACGCCTCGGCACACGCCTCAATATTCTCGAAACAGAACTCAAATATGCTTGGCGAGCTCTCGATCTGCTTAGCCAAGAGTATGTTCGAATGTGGGAGCGTCTCGAAAGATTGGAGACGCTACTCGCTGATCAACAGGGTGTAATATCAACTTTACTGGACTTTTACACATGCCGTACTGTCAGCGCTAGAGATCCAATGACTCGACTAGAAGTGATTAGAGAAATATTAGGAAATGGGACCGTCGAAGATGGAATAGAGGAAGGTATAGATATTGGACGAAACTCATTGTTAGACCATCCAGAAGAAATTATGGAATCAAATGAAGCATTCTATAAGAGTTTAAATCAGGCCTATCGTGATGATTTAGTGTGTGATGAAACATCTAGACCACCATCACAGTTAGATATGATTTGGGAAGCTCCGGAAGAACCAGATATAGAAATGATGCCATCAAGCTCTAGACAAATATATAGTTCATCAGATTATAAAGATTACTGTGGACTAAAAGGTGGACCTGTCATTAGTGATCGAGATTTGGTGCATTTATCTGCTTTAAGTACAATAGATCAAATCACAGTAGATAAATTACATGAATTAGATAGATTGACAACCCAATTACATAAAGATTCCAGAGAGTTAAAAGACTTGAAAACCAGACTTCTCAGTCCCGAAACCAAACTATCAAAACACGACAGGGATATAGAAGCAAAGGCATTAGTCGAAGATGGGAATATAATAAATGAACAGCTTAAAAGTGTGTACTCGGGCGGCGACAATTGGGCTATCAACGATATGATGAAAAGTTTTGATGATTTTATGCTGACGGCTCCTAAAGATTCAATGGTCAGAGAGAAATCACCATCAAGATTGTCACTTACTGATAATGTGTCTGATAGAACGATGGATTATTTGCCTCCAACTCTTTCTCCTCGTCGAAAGTATGTACCTGAAAGAACAACTACAGAACCATACACGACTGTAACTGGTCGTTTGGCCTATAGTTCGGCAGTAGCTAATGCTGAAATCAATGCAGCCAAAGCATCTAAATCGCCAAGTGCTCTGTCAAGAGAAAGATTTGAATATAGTACTCCATATCCAATAGCTGACACTTCAAGACAAAATTATTTTTCTAGCAAAGGCCTATCTCAGCCTTTAAACGAGATTTATAAAACAGGATCAGAACAACACTCTCCCTTGTCAATTCATGAAATATATAACGGACCTAGTGCTAATGAATTAAATTATGAAGAAAACAGGTTAAGAAAATCCCCAAGTCCTCCGCCACCGGCACCACCAAATGGAGCAAACGGGTTTCCCTCAATAGAGAACAACAACGAATTGGTAGCTCATCAACAAATGTTATCGACAGCAGGTGCACATGAAGCTATGCGATTGAGTCCTAGATCACCAAAATCACCAAAAACATCACCGAAACACGTGAAAAGAGACTCGGCTAATATTGTAGCCGCAAAATCAGATTCAGGATTATCATCTATGAGTGGTTGGTCAAGTCTGGAAAAAAGTCCAGGCTCACCGAAAACAGGCCGAATCGCGCACGCAAGTCACGATCATAAAATGAGAATTACTTCTCCACAACCTATACAAAGAATGTCGTATGAAATTGATGCGAAACCATACATCGAAACCCTTGTTGACTCTTATCTTTATGATGGGGGAAATTTGAAGAGTGATTTTAATTTACGAAAAACAGATCAAATGGCAAAGGAAGTTAGTTCTAGAGATTTAAATAAATTGCAAGGAAAAGTGGAGAGTGATTACATAAAAAGTGATATTCCATATTCAGTAACCGATCCAATGACTCAAATAAGCAATATTGGAGAATATTATTACGGCAACGAAGCCCCTTCAATATATTCCGTAGCTGGAAATAGGCAACCAATATTCACAACTGTGTATAGTACGCCGAGAGGAATGTTGTCTGAAGATAGGAGTTTTTCCGAATTATTAGATAGAAATGAAATTTCTGAATCTGTTGCAAGGCCTGCGGCAGATTCTTATCCGCCGGAACCGAGTTATCATGCACAGACTGTTGTGATGTCGGCGGCAAATGCAAATAAACGACCCTTGACTAGAGCGAATACGATGGGTGCCAACGATCCACATTTTTATCAAAATGGTTATAAGGGTCACCGTGCTGGATATCCACCAGGCAATCTCACTGATGCTCTGTCATATTATCCAACCTCAACAAGATATGATTCACCTAAAAGGACATCCTTAGAAGATCAAATATCGTGGCAAGGTGGTAGCCGATCTCCAACCAGTTCAATGGAAACTTCGAGCTTGAAATCTCATTCCTTGAGTATAACTGAAAGAAAACAATTTCAAAATCAACTACAACAAGAATATTTCAAACAGCAGCAGTATGATCAACGAAATGGTAATGTTATGTATGAAAACCAAGGATTCGAAAAGCAAGCTGCACCTGATCAAACTAAAATTAGAAAAGAGCAATATGTAGAATCGAGTGGTATATTAGTTTCTGAATCAGGTTATTTATCAATTTCGAATAATTTCAAAGGCAAAGCTCAAGATAAACAACCCAAAAAGCCAAAACGAACATCATCACTAAAGTCGGCAATGTCATCTATGAGTCACTGGCTTCCAGATCTACATTTACCTAAGAAACATAGATCGCATTCCCTTCCTTCTGGCGTGGATAATGTAGAACAACCACAGCAAGAAAAATCATTAAAGGAGCGCATTTTGTCTGCTCAGAGAAGAAAAAAGAAATATCATTTGGTGGCTTCGATGTCTGGTTTGTTGCAAAAAGCTAGAAGGAAACAACAAGCGAGTCATCAATCGTTATCAGATCCAGAAACGTCTGAAACTGAGTGGTCAGGAGGCAGATCGAGTGCCCAGTCCGAAGATAGTGACAGTGTATTTTCGGATTCAACACATGACGGTAGTATGTTTCCTAAAGTTGCTCCTAAGCCAAAGAGGAAAATCAACAATCAAGAAATTGTAGAACAACAGATGATGATACAAGAACGCATTCAAGAGCACGGAAGAGAATATCAAGAGGATGATCCCGATTGTATTATTGAGGAAACAGAAAAGTTGACCGCAGCTACTAATGTAATTCCGAGAGATAAAAGTGATGATATCGATTTTCATTTTGCACGTGTCAGTCAAATGAAGAAAGAGAATAATATACCAAAGCTAGAAAAATTAGATATCGATACTGATATCTCAAATGTCGACCTATTTGAAGAAGATGAAAAAGGAGATAACCAATCTCCTGGATCACTTTTTGCTACTATTGGAGATGTGAAAAAGTCATCTAACGTTACTGAGGATGGATTAAGTGAAAGTAATAAATCTTACAGCGGAAGCTCACAAGAATTTGCAGTTTCTAGAGCGTTGGGAAAATATCGCTTGCGTAAGTCAACATCTGTGTCAGATGAACATATTGCCGATATTTCACCACCAAAGGTAGAGACTGAACAGCAAGAAGAAACCAATGATGAATTTATGACGCAGCAAAAAGAAAAGAAATTACGTAAACCAAGTCCACCTGAGGTAGTTAGCACTGTAACATTGTCTGCTGAAGATTCACATAACTTGCCAGAAAGAAGTCCCTCCATACAAAGTACTCGTGGCTTACCAAACAAATTTCAGCCACGGCATCAACAAAGTTTAGAAATACCAAATAAACATGATGATGACGATAGCAGAAGCACACATTCTTGGAGAAGTGGTTCCAGAGTATCGTCAAGACGTCAAAGTACTGAAGACAGTATTGATTCTGAAGACGAATGGTATTGCTACGAATTGAGGAAGCTGGAAGAAATGGAGCATCAGTCACAAGTAGAAACTGAGCGACAACAAACGTTACCAGAGGAGCCAGAAATCGAAGAAGAATATTCTAGTGAAGTTCTTAAAGAGAAAATGTCGTTTGTGCTACGCGAACTAAAACTTAAAACGGCAACAACGAAACAAAAATATGACGAATCTCCAACCAAAGAATCTTGGAAAGATGTTACAACTTTCCCAGTAATCGAAGAGACAACAGATGAAGACAGACATTCGAGTGATGATAAGTCGCTTGATTATTCTGGTTCAGGTGAAACTTCTGGACCAGACAGTCCAGTTCAAAGTGGTGATGAACTGGATGATGACTATGATATGCCACAAATACAACTTCCGTTACCGTTACCTCGAGAAGAACCGCGGCCCCAACAAGACGCTCCTGTTGGCAGCAAATGGAAACTCCTCAAAGCCCTGAAAGACCGGAAAGCTGAGGAGAAGACTTCAGAGACACCGGCAGCCACGACACCGTCAACTGAAAAGGACAAAGTCAGCGCCGGTGTAAGTTATCTTATGCAAAAGTTTCATGAGATTAGAGTTAAGAGTTAAATATAAGGTGTTTAGACATATTTATAAGGTGCAGGTTACTTCCACAGTTATTTGAAATATATATGATAGTTAGACTGATATACTCGCCATTGCTAATACTATAACCCGCTTTAAAATTCATAAAACGAAGTTACTCGTATATCTGTTTTAGAATAGAAAGTAGGACGTGTAATTGTTATAAATAGTCGTCCATTTTAAAGATATTCAGTAAAGGATTCTACAAGTCAATCGATCTTCAATTTACCTGAATGCAGGGATCTGTTAGAATGTTTATTTGTTACTACACTAGGTAGTTTCAACCTAAAGAACTAACTGCGGTTGTGAGATATATTTCAACCAATTTCTTTTCCTCCATATACTGCTAAATATGTATTTGAATGCATAGAATAGGGTGCTCTTTTACACTATATTAAACGTATATGATATATTACTATTGACGCTCTTTCTATTTAATTGAGGCAATAATTAGATATAACCAATGCAATAGGGTACTAAGAACTTTCTAAATATATATAAACAATTTTTACATAACGCTTGAGAATGATATTCAACCAAAAATTATACAAATTTTAATAAAGGTTTGCTTAACGATATTTGTACTTGGAAAATATGGTAATCTTTACATGATATTAAATATACTCAGTATTATAAATATGTGTTCGTTGCTTCGTAGAGATTGTTTTGTAATGTTAGTGTTGTATGAATTTGCTGTTTGCAATCAAGTTCATTCATGTATCGGCTTGGGGAGCATAATTGTCGTACAAAATTCGTTCATGGTCATATCATCTCATATCAGAGAGTTCCTTTTATTTATAGCTAAACGGAATAAATAATAATTGTCAGTCATGAATACAAATTACTATTACTCAATATTTTCTATACGTTATAAAATGTATAAGCAATATTAAGCAGTTTAGGCGCCCGACTACGGTTTACTCATAGCAGTAAAAGAACATAAACATATTTACAGTTTATTTTTAATATTATGTACATATAAACAATCTGAACAAATTGCAAAATATTGGGAAGATTATGCGTACATGTTTATTTACTCATAAATTGTAAAATAAAATTCGTGGATATATTTCAATTCAAAATTAAATTAATTAATTAATGGCGTGCCCAAAGCAATTCAGATTCTTGCCGGTGGACACGTCAGGTCTTGTTATTTAAAAAAAAATACGTGTTTGCTTATAAAATGCTATATATCTACAGCAGACATTTGCAAAGAAATGATCCTAAAATAGTTGTTACAGCGGTTGTAATTGACAGTATACACAAATACATATCCAAAAAATTACATATGAAATAAATGTTATACATATTAATACAATTATTTATACTCACCGTAGTCGGGACAGAGTAGAATAAATAAATACTTCCAAAACTAAGAAAACAGAAAGCAATAATACTAATTCATATTTACAGACATTCTCACTAAAGTTACTCAAATATTTTCATCGAAAAAAATATTATAATCATACTAGATTAAAAAAAAATACATACATTGTATTTACTAGGTGTCGCATCGCTTAGGTAAACGTTATATACATAGTTATTTACACTTACATTAAAAATATAGCTGGCACTCAAAATATTTAGCGGAAAGATTTTAGATGTTGAAAAATATTGCGTAGAATTATGTATAATAATTATATTATGGGCAGATTAGGTAATTTTTATTAGTAAAATATTTTATTATGGAACATTTTGCATATTTTTATCCTTTACACATTTATATTGAATTGGGACAATATCTTGAGTTTTGCTTCGAATGTATTTTTACTTACTTTTTTCAAGGTCGAATATTTCATGATACTCATAAACTGCCCAAGCATTACTACTACTATTAGCTACTATTAATTGTTAACTTTACTATTAATTAATTGTGTTTAAATGTCGAGGTTAATTCTCCATGTCTTGTTACTATAAGCGTAAAATTGTTCGATTACATTTCTATGACAAATTGCTCTTTTGGAATAAAGATGTTTTAGTTTGCCTGGTAAGCAAAATCTTCCATTCTTCTTTTCTGTGGAGGAACTGTCAAGACCTAGAATCAAGATCTGAGAAGAAATTTATTTTAAAGAATAAATTAAAAATTTTAAAATTTAAAAGAATAAATTTAGCCAAGGCAATTAATACCAATTCAATCTGCGTTCGAATTCGAAGATTTGATTGCCTAAAAATTCACTTTATTTTTAAATGCATTGCTCAATGTTTAAACTACAAAATAAACGATTCATCTTCACTACATGTAATTTACAGTTCAATAAAAGTAGTTCTAATTGTCATACAAAGGCATCCAGATAATTTTCAAGAAAAATATATTATTTATTTTTATGAACAAAAAAACAGAGTTTAATATTTGTCATAGAAAATTAATCATTGTGTTATTATTGTAATGTTTTTTATATATTTTTTCAATAAAATGTTAGCTTTTTGTTTTTTGTTGTTAGGTTTTTTATTTATTGTTTTTTTTTTTGTTTTTAGAATGGATCCGGTGGCTTCAACGAGCAAGGAGGCAGAGGAAATGGGTATGTTAGCTACGGAATGCAGATTTGTATTTTGTTATTTATGTTTACCATAAAAGAAAAAAAAGCTATTAATTTCATAATAACTGATTCATTTTTCATTGATTTAATCAGACCAATATATTTTTTGCTTATAAAAATAAACAGTGTACGTCATCGTACCTACTATTGTGTGCAAAAAGTTTTTAATATAAATAATATGCATTCTAATTTTTATGGTGGGTACACTTTATTGTTTTATGTTTTATTTTAAATAGCAAATTTACAGATGTTCAATAATTCCATTATATCAGATGAATAAAAATTGACACGCTTTCAATGAATCAAGGTACGTAAAATAACTCGAGGGCAATTATTTTAAAGTATTTAATTTTCGTAGGCACGTCACCGACAATCCATTCTACAGTAACATTGACAGCATGCCGGACATTAGGCCTCGAAGAAAATCCATTCCACTCGTCTCAGAACTTGTAAGTAACGTTTGGATTTTTTCTTATCGATATATAAAAAACCTATCTATTATTACAAATCTCATGGAAGTAAGCTATCTTTCTCTCGGGCCGGTTTCAATTCGCTATCTTGAAATTGACTTGAAGCTTATTACAAGCAACAAAAGGGTTATTTTGGCATAATAAGTCGTTTATCTGTAAACAGGGTTATAGAAGGTAGATATTTGAAACTGGTCGTAAATGTTAACAGCTCGCATCGACGTACGCTTCCTGAGGCTTAGTAATATTAGGCGCGTAATAAATGTTTTCTTCTACACGGAAAATTTCCATATTATGTGTTTTTGAACAATTTATGGGGAGAATGTTCAAAGAAGTAGCATTTTGTCGTTGAAATTTATTAAGTAGTTTCTATTTTTTCAAATTTGTGTAGTTTCATGTCCCACCTCCCAATACGTTGTTCTATTAAAAAAAAAACAAAATTGAGGCCTATTCGATCCCTTCTCTCTTCATTGATGTCTCAATGTTACCTGTATTGTGTTTTTCCTTCTGATCTTTACTACTTAGATGGCCTTTAACCTTTACTTAGTTACCAATCCAACCCTAACTGTACCGTGTAAAAGATAAATTAGGGGTCACCGGAGCAAAATCTACAGTAGCCGACCATAGTCACCGAATGAACGACTCTAATTCCTGATAAAAATTAATAATGTCATTGCATTTTACCCCCTTACCACGGACCTGCAGGTTCTCAAGGTATTTCTATCCCAATAAAACTTCTATTCTATGCATGCAGTTCTAAACAAAAGTGAAAAGATAAAATTTCTGTCAAGATTTTTTTCTTTTCACCCACTGTACATAGTGTGCTTGCATTGAAATTTGATTGAATTTGATTTGGCCTTTGCATGTTTCTGCTTTAGATCATATTTCAGATGTTGGTTAAGTATAAAAGGTAAAGCTACAATATTGTATTACATCTTACGATTGGATTACACCATAACAGCATACATAAACAAATTATTAAAATCGAATTCCACACTGGGAACATGCACGTGCTTGCCGATTTCGTTTTCATTGCGAAGCTTCAATATCACAGCAAATATTATTTTCGCGACTGAAAATTCTTTTTCATCACAACATCAATAAACATGATCCCTCAAATGTAATAATGTTTCAGTGTTGTACCGAATCTCACATACACACATTTTAACTTTACACGCACCAACAATTATTTTTATTTGTATAAAGTAATCAAAGGAAATTTGTCGTCCGTATGAAAATGAAATTTTCAAAACGGTAGTTATGATTTCGTTGAAAGACAGGCTTAAAAACAGCTTTGTTAAAGCATGTGTAAGTAGCTTCAATTTGCAAATGATACAACACATTCTAAATTTCTAGAGAAATGACAATAGCAATTTTTCAAAATAACGTAGTTAGGTAGGCAATTCAAAGCTTGATTAGAAAATAGCCAACACAACACTCAGTGCCATGTACATACTGAGGATGAATGAGATGTTTATGCCCGATGCTCATATATATTCTGCTGTTTAGACAATGGCCGCTACGAAGAGGAACGCAGGTTTGACATCAGCTGTACATCGAGCCACATTGAACGATGAAGAACTGGTGAGTTCATAAATAATCAGCTTCCAAACTTTGTCAAGGAATTATACAGATGTAGAATTGAATTTTGGTGTCAATTTTTCATTCAAATTCTGACCTACGAGGTATATTCCAGAAAATGCACGTATACAAGAAGACTTTGCAAGCGCTCATCTACCCAATATCGTCGACCACGCCTCATAACTTTGTTCTATGGACGGCAACTTCGCCCACTTATTGTTACGAGTGTGAAGGCTTACTTTGGGGAATCGCCAGGCAAGGTGTAAGATGCACTGAATGTGGTGTCAAGTGCCACGAAAAGTGCAAGGATTTGCTCAATGCCGACTGTCTTCAGAGTAAGTGGAGCCCTGGGATGGTCTATGGGTATACTTATGTTGTAAGTGACTGGGATTTGTTTCATTTAATTGGTTTTTTAAACATTAAACTTCTAAGACAAAGAGTATTGTATGGAGGTCAAAAAATAATGGAACAAATTCCTAAATAATGGTTGTTGTGTCCCCAACGCAGTGTAAGCAGGTAAGAGAATAACCAAGTGATTTCTTAATTATATTTTTAAATGTTACAACACTCAACTAAAATGAGGATACCGTCATAATTCTCTTACTTTCTTTACATAAATTTTGATGTTGCCATTGAGCCCAAATATTTATTTATTATATACAGTTTTTAATCACAAAAAGCAATAACGAAAATGTTGTGATTAAAAAAAGAACTAAAATTTTAAAGAGCGTCACTTCATTGTTGTTTTTATGAACATTGTACGAACGCGAAATGTTTAGGTTTTTAGAGCTGGCTGGGAAGCGCAGTTCCCTCCTTATTAAACTCAAGTGAGCCAAGAAGCACTTGACAGGTCACTCGTTGTAGACAAGATCTTTGGATACACAACGTCGCAGTAGAAAATCAATATTTAATGCACAGTCTAAAGAACATTGTACGTACTCAACTCTCAGCCTTATTCAGAGAGCGTGGGCCATTCCGCTTTATGTAATTTAATTATTTATTTAGGTAATGTTGAAGCATTCGCGTTCCATCAAGTTAGTCTAGACACTAAGGCCTTTGATGCCATTAGATTGACATAAGCTGGATTTGTCTTTATCCGTTGTGACTCAAAAACGTGCTATTGGATTTCCAACGTTCGAGTTAAATACAAAATCGAGTACAAACAAAGTCAGTGTTACATAATTTCGAAGCGGCAGTTCATCCATAAGTTCCCCACACAGAGAGAGTTTCGATGGTACTTAATGGAGAGCAAGTCTTGTCGAGAGTTATGACCTTTGTGCCCGCACTTTGATCAAGTCCACACCAGATATAATAAACTCATAGATTTATCACCCTAAATGCGAGTTATCTATTTGTTCGAAATCAGTTTTGTAAGTTATGGTCATTGTTGGTAACGTCTAAGATAGAAAGATTCAGTTATTTAGTTTCTGTGCATTCTTCATGTGTGATTATTTTGAAATAAGAATGAAGTGTCGCTCTTTAACATCTAAATGTTAATGTAAGTCTATTAGATGTTTACCTAATTTGTTAGATTCCACTCTCTAGGTGATGTCTGTGTTAAAAGGTAATAAAATGGTTTAAAATCCAGAATGTCGTCGTAGTAAAATTTACTGGCATTATTAGTTCAATTATTGATGTGCATGTGTTCAAAATTTTGCATGTGTTGATCGTTATACATCAGTGATCAAACATTATATTCACGTACAAGAACACAATTAGGACCATTCGTCAGTAAAACACGACTAGCGACATCACCAGGATTCACGCAAATATAGGAACAATCCATTTCTTTATTATTTTTATCGTTGTTGTAATTTTGTTTCTGTGATTTTTATTTATCTACCTTTTTCTTCATGTTTACTCTGACCTCATATAATGAAAATAGCATGATGTATTTTCCCTTCCCAATTAATAATTTGACCATTGCTTTATCGGTGTGCATGGCTATAGGTGCGATACACAGTTATTATTATATTCCAAATTTTATTATTCCCATAATATTCGGTTCTAGAATAACATTTGCACGATCATGTAGGCGAGCAGTCGTTAGGTGAACCGCGTTTTACAAAATATTGTTTTTTAACAAAATAGTAATTATCGACTGCACGCCATTTCCATACCAGTCTACACTTTGAAAAGAACTAATGAGCTTTTTAATTATAACGATTTTCACTTTTATTTGATAACTATTATTATTTTACTTTCACTTTGCTTTTATTTCTTTTATGATTTTATAATGGTTTTATTTTGAACTGGTTATTATTATGTTCTTTGCAGAAGACGTAAGTATTTTTTTATCTCTTTTTTCTATTATTTTTTTACTTCAAATATTTATTACTCTATCTACATTTTGAAGTGAATTAACATCTTTGAACTAATTCTTTTGAAGTGTGGACAAGTAGCTTGTGTAGATAGGGTTCCGGTCCTGTCATCCGTTTGTACCTTTCGAGTTGCCCCGCCCAGCGCCGAAACTTGTTAAAGCCCTATTTAACTAAATGACTTGTGTTATGTACTGTTCTTTACCCTACTTTACATTCTACACTATCTTACACACCGTTTTTCTTAAAAATCGGTTTAGAAGCTTCTAACTAACACGAACGCCCAAACAAATCCGACAAATGCAACGTGTTGTTACGATGTGCCTGTTAGCAATGTGTGCACGCATTCCAGTGTCTGTCCACTTCTATATTATATGTGGTCCTTTAGTTTATTTATTTTCATATGATTTATAGAGTTCCACGTTTCTGTATTAATTTTACTGTCTTTATGTTTTTCTCTTATCTAAATCCCTGAGGATGTTCAACGCTTAAAAATGTCAATTTGTATATATGATACGAAGTCAATAAAATAAAATGTTTCGTTTAAATAATTCTAAATGGACGAACAAACAATACTGATACATACAAATACAGAGGGTGTTTTAGTGTGCGATACAGTTCTAACGCCTTTTAAAGATATTTGGCAGCCTGTTGATACAATGTGATTACTATTAATATGCTGCCAATAAAAATATCAGAATTAATTTATTTTAGAACAATGCGTTGAACTGTATTGAGTTTTATTTACCAGGCGCCGTGCTCAGATCCGCTCCGGCTGGCGCCGCTCGACGTCGATAACCTGATTAGATCTGACATACATAAACCTAGTAAATTTTCTTATTGAAGTTGGAGTCTTGTCAGGTTGAGGCCAAGAGTGGTCGTAGCGGGTGTGGGCGCGGGGCGGGGGGCCGTCCCGGCGCATCCCGCAACTTCTAAGAACTGTTGGCACCGCCTGATCAGTGTGTTTCGCAGGGGCGGCTGAAAAGTCTTCCAAACATGGCGCCGAAGACAAAGCCAATTCCATCATCACAGCTATGAAAGAACGAATGAAACAACGTGAACGAGACAAACCCGAGATCTTTGAACTAATCAGGTAATGATACTTCCATATTTTGTGTTACGATAATGTTTAAAAATTCAAATTTTGTTCGGCGATTGCTTTGAATGGTCCGGATTCAGGTATATAAGTTTTATCTAATTAAATTATTATAAAATTAAACACCATTTTGCCTGTTTTCACTTAGCTGAATTCAAACAATCACATAAGACTGCAATAGCTATACCGCACGTAAAAACACCCCCTTTGATATCCATTTAATATAACTTTACTGCTAGCAAAAGAGCTGTTTTTGACAACGTCATGAAAAGTAATGCTTAATATCATATCAAATACCGTTGAGTAAATTGAAAATATCAGAAAGCAATCGCTGACACGAATGTGTATGTGACAGACGCGTGTTCAGCATCGATGGGGACCCTCACGCAGCGCACATGAGCACAGTGAAGCAATCAGTCCTCGATGGTACATCAAAATGGAGCGCCAAGATCGCCATCACAGGTTCGATTGACGTACAGTGTTTGCACTAACCTCCCCTTTTAGGATCTAGGTACCAGGCGGGGCGGCAGCATTGGAAAGGCACAAAACACAATACAGACACAACACTAAATTGTATTCAATCTTTCGTTTCATGTGGCGGCCAGGCGGACTTTTAACGTCGACCCAGACACTCACATTGACAGTCTAGAACAGGCCAAGCAAGTCACTATAGAAGGAACATCAAAGTGGTCTTGCAAGATCGCCATTACAGGTTTGCGGTGGTCTTTTGCGGCTACGACCCGCACGCTCGCAATTTTGATACTATTAGACAGACTCTTCGCCTGAATTCTCTTTTCCCTTGTTTTTGATATCTGCTTCAATTTATGATTTTCGTAACCTTATATTGACAAAAGCGTAAATGTGTTGTATAACAGTAAGCGTTGATGCTAAGTTGAAAAATGTAAATGCTTCAGTAACTATAAGCCGCAGCTTCAGCAGATATCAAAAAAGAAATCTATTGCATATCTATACTTCAAATACCCGAAAAATCACGGTCGTTAATGCACCGCCTCTAATCACTTCCATCGATAAAAACGTAGCTTTATTAAATCATTAACACTAAGGAAATTCCACGAATCTAACACATCACTGAACTAAAATGATAAGACGAATTCAATAATTCTTGTCACGCACACAAATTTTATACTCCCTGAACACTGAAACGACACGATTCAAACCACGTTTATTTAAATGATTGCAAAACCACAAGAAGGCAGCACGTCTGCTAAATTGACACAAAATGCATGAGAGTCACAGATTAACAATAAATGTTACAACAATGAGTGGATTATCAAAGCTCGTTCACTATTACATTAATGGTGATAGGGCATCACTTAACACACACTAACCACTTTAATTTTCAGTGCGACGACGATAGAAACCTATACTTCAGTAGTCGTTTGTAAGTGAATGAAATTTTAGAAGAAATAATAGCATGCCGAATGAAGGACCCCAATTATCCCGAAATTTCTACTTCTCTGTTACTGCCAAGAACTTTTCGATTCGTGAAAATTCCAATACCATTAGACCTGATTCCCGCGCATATCTTTATACTTCTTTGAAACTTTCTTCTTGGTCGAAGTTTGCATTAGAAGTTGCGATAATGTAGGCGCTATGTTCAACTTGTTTTAGAAATCGAATTTGGGCATAGATAAAAAGTTTGGTAGTTTGAAGCTAGAGTCTTCTTCTTTGACCCCGACCCGTTCTGATCACACGAAACCCTGTTCATAGATTTCAAGAGATTCTAGCACAGAATGCCTGATTTGGTAAGTAAGGTAGACGATTCCATAGCTTGGTAAGGTATTTATCTAGTGTAGGTAAGTTGGAGCTAGCTTTAACTGCTAATAACGCTTCCTGGCGGCGTATCTAAGCGTAATGTAACATACTACATTGCGTAGTTTTAAGAGAAAAGCAAATCGTTTCTAGCAATAAAACAACGATGAATGTGAATGTATATTACTTACGGAAGATTTACCAGAAATACGTTTGGTATTTACTCAACCGTATCGCAGGGTTGGTACAGTTTGCTATATTATTTTTATTTTGCGCAGAGTTCCATTGGAACTGAATATTTGAAATATTATTTCTGCGAGCTACAAAAATTTTGAGGAGAATTCTTTATGTAAACAAGCGAGAATAAATGCAGCTAAAATATTTAATGTTATTTTATGTATAGTATTTAAGATTACGTAATGTGATATGTACTATAGTGATAAAATACTAAATTGGCCCTTCGTGGGCAGTTATTTGTGCTCAAGGCCTCATCGCGAAGGATAAGAGTGGAACTTCAGACCCCTACGTTACCGTCCAAGTAAGCAAGGTGAAGAAGAGAACAAGAACTATGCCTCAGGAATTGAACCCCGTTTGGAACGAAAAGTTTTACTTGTGAGTGTATAAAACTATATAGAGCCTGTTTGTTTTGCGTTATACACCTGACAAATAATTAGAATTTTTTTCACACTGAATCAAATATTGTGTTGTTATAACAGATAAATAATCTAATGATTTTTATGCATGCAGAATTTTGTAGGTTATTATTTTATTAAAAAATATTTAATTTTTTGTGTAATAACTATCACAAAACATACAAACTTTATTGCAAATAATGACTTATCACTAAATTTTTATACTAAAAGAGCCTTTTTTCAACTTGGTCTGGAACGTGAATGAGTCGTTGTATTAAATAAATTAAACATAATAACAATTCTTTACATTATTAATTCTATTACTCCTTTCTTTCCCAGCGAATGCCATAATTCATCAGATCGTATCAAAGTGAGAGTATGGGATGAAGATAACGACTTAAAATCAAAACTACGCCAGAAATTGACCAGAGAATCTGACGACTTCTTGGGTCAGACGATCATTGAGGTAAACACGTTATATTTATTTTTATTTCATTAACTATTAAGTTTCTATGGTTCCAAATGATTCTAAGCGTTCGTGTGATATTAAATGTCAGCCGGGGTTTTGGGGTTGAATGAGCATAGCTGAACATCGAGCTCAGTGGCGTGCAATTGGGGAGGCCTATGTCCAGCAGTGGACGAAGTCCGGGTGATGATGATGATGATGATGACGGGGTTTCGCGGGGTAAGCTCAACCTAACCCCTCGGCCTAGCGCAGGAAAAACAGTGGGCGGGGGTTTACTTAGTAAGAGTCTGACACTTCCTCTCGCATCACACTCAGTGAAAGACGTCATTTGATGATTTTCCCTTTACAAAAAAAGGTACTAAAATAACTCACTCATAAATCGTTATACCAATAGAACTTACTTTTCAGATATCAATAGATAAGTTGTGTATATGAAACTGTACAGTAAAATTGGTATTTAGTTTTTTCTTTAAACCAATTTAGTCTTTAAAAATATAAAGAATACGGTAGTGAATTAATCTAACAACAACTTCAATTCATCATAGTCTCCTTGTTATTACATCCTGACAACTGAACTATGATGAAAAGCCCTCGCCGTGTCTTCCCACGGGTAATAAATATTTATTACATAGAATTATTTGCTGTTATTCTATCCCACTATGGCGATAGTTGGTTCTGTTTCATAAATTGTAAGACTTGAACATTGGATACAAAAAGACAAAATCAATATACGTATGAATAAATAATGAGAATGAATAAGTAATCTTTCAAGAATGTCAACACAGAAAAATTACATCAATTTTATTATGGGGTCTTAAAATTATTAATGTTAAATATTTGTTAAGAAGTCACAGAATGTACAAGAGTTTTTTTTCTTTTGAAAATAATGGAATGGAGATTATTTTTTCTAGTTTCTTAATACATTAAACCTAAAACCTTCGTGGTACATAATACACAAATAATCAAATACAATAAACAATAGAAGCGAAAGGTTTAAGCATCAGTATGACGCTTGTTTTCAGTTTTAATCGTTGACTACTTGATAAAAAAAAGAAATAAAAACTTTTGAATTTTGAACACACTTAGTTCTAAACACAAACAGTGGGTACAATAAATATTTATAATCTTTTATTTTTCGCGCAGTTATTTCCATGCTATGCCCATGTTGGTAATTCAAATATACAATCAAAAGACATTGTAAGCGACTTAGTTAATAGAAAATATCTATAAGTGTATAAATTATTATGGAGGTTAAACATGTTTAGCGCAACGTGGGTCACTGTAGTAGGTCTCCAGTATGTAGGACTATTATATATAGTAAAAGGCTGAAATAAAAATCCTTATAGTATTAAGTATCTTACACCTCCAAAAAATAATAGGCGTGAAGATTTATTTTGCAAAAAAACTAAAAACGATTACATTCCAGGTTCGAACATTGTCGGGCGAGATGGACGTGTGGTACAACTTGGAGAAACGAACAGACAAATCTGCGGTCTCCGGAGCCATCAGACTGCACATCAACGTGGAGATCAAGGGCGAGGAGAAGGTGGCACCGTACCATGTCCAGGTCAGTGATAAAATAGACTTTATGAAACCTTTCCAGGTCTAAAGAAGAAAAAAGTATTCACCAATTTTTATGACACGCTATTACGATTGCGTTAGACATACCGGTTAGTAATAAGCTACAAAACTGTCAGGCGTTCGAAAAGGTCAATGGCCTTTGGTGCTACTACAAAATGTAGTTCATAATTCCTTTCTTTGCGATTTATAAACAATGTTTCCAATTCGTAAGTCAACAGGTTGCTCGGGGCATTGGCACTATGCCCCTTGGCCTACAGCCAGCAGTGCCGTAATTACTTGTTATTTAACGCAGGTACTGAACTTGACAAAACATAATTGGATATTGTTTCGCAATGATTTGTTAGTCTTTGACAACCAATATTGGTACAAACATTTAATTTAAGAGAACAAACTGCTCTTGGTTCTTTAAAGTAAGATCAGAAATGGCTACTGCAACTTTACTAAATCGTTTAATTAAAAAATAACCTTATCAAAACAGTAATAAAACCACTTTTACAAGCTCATTGTTTGTTTAGCATAATACATTATTTTGCTTACTCATCCAAAAGTGTACATTGCCCACACCAAATTAATAAAATTAAATTAATCGTGAAACGAATCGAGGAAATAATACCAGAAAATTATACCATCACACAAAAGTTGTAGAACAATACTATGGAACTCCCAGAAAATTTCAGATATCCAATCAATTTCGGGAATATAATTAAAACCTACAGAAGTCCCGAAAGTTCCCAAGCATTTTTCGCTCGAATTGTTCTTTTGTGTCATTTATTCGAATTACAATGGTCGTTTATTACAATCTGACTTCAGTTTTGTTGAGCGTACAATCAAATCTAGTTGTAGAGGATGTACCTAGAAGCCAGATGCGGGGACTGAATGGACCAACTTTCCGGAATAAATGTGAAAAGTTTATGTAGCCAGCTAACTAAGCGAAACTGCTAGCTAATGCAAAAGTATAATTTCTTGGTCACATTCGGGCCCGAGGGGTGTTGAGGACTGTAACCGTTTTTGTGATGCAAATATTTTAAGCTGGCTATTTTGTGTTAGTGCCGCGACCTCTACCGTTGAGAATTTTAATGTTTATTTGGAAACAAATTTGCGGCATAGAGGCTGATGAAATGAAAATTTCTAGATATTTTCTATTTCAAAATTTTAACACAAAATGTTTGGATAGAAAATGATTCTCCACTTTATTATTTTCGGGATAGCGAAAATATCTTGTCATGATTAATAGTTTTGAGTGATTGATTCGTCGGAAATTAAATGAATATTTAATGAGCCTGTTCAGCTTAAAATTTTGCGTATCTACTTCGCTTTAAAATAAAATTTTATTTTTTAAAGAGGAAGATGCTTAATAATTCCTTGTTTTTTATCCTAGGCACTTTTGTTTAAACATGTTTAAACACTGCTTTATTAAAACAAAGCTACAAATCACATTAAAAATTACTGTCCTCAACTTAGGTCTTAAGTCAGGCTTTATTTATGAGAAAAGCTAATGAAAACTTGAGGACGCTGTTATTTCTCAAACTTGACGTACTAAATAAAATTCGTGAACTTTTGTGTATTTATCACAAACAAAGAGGTTTACTTAAATCAATGGTTTCGTCACGAGATTTCGGTGTAAAGGATAATTGGGTGACTATAAATCTATGCGGCCGCAGGCAGAAATTATTTATTGTTTCATGAAAGAAAAAATAGTGCTCTTTCCTTTGTATTTGTGTAAAGATTCTTTTTTTACGGAAGATATAGGTCAGCAAACGAGTGGACGGATTACCTGATGGTAACCAATCAGCGCCGCCCATGAACACCCGCAGCACCAAAAGAGTTACGAGTGCGTTGCCGGCCTTTTAGGGATAAGGGTTTCAGATATTTAAGGATTGGAAAGAGATTGGGGAAGGGGGAGGCACTGGGCCTCCGGTAAACTCACTCACACGGCGAAACACAACGCTGTAGTTGTTTCACGCTAGTGATAGTATACGCAATTATTTTTTCTTGAAACCTGAATCTCATCTGTGCAAATATTTGTATGCCGAAAGGCAGAATGTACGTCAGACGTGGTTTTTGAACTTCTGTTAACATCATTCTGATTGCAATACCTACATTCTATGCGAATAAAAACTTTTCATTCTTATTCTTGTAACCTAAAATTACCTTTTAATTAAAAGTCTGCCACCTGCACATTAATCAGTCTGTGCTAAATCTATTTTTATAAAAAACTAGCTTCCCCTTACCAACTACCTTCTTCGTGGTATGTTGATAAAAAGCAACCTATGTTAGTGCAAGTTATTACCTATCTACGTAACAGACTTCAACTTAATTGGTCCAGTCATTTTTGCGTAAAAAACTAACAAACTAACATCCATACGTTACAAATCCACTAACTTTCAATTAAATAATATTATTGGATTAATATACCTATACAGTACAGAATTTTTTTCGCAGCATGTTCGAAAAGTTCTAGGTACTAACGAAATAGAACTCAATTTAGATAAAATCACTCCTGTTAAATGTACAAAGGTATCGATTTTGCCAGTAATAGGATCAATCTTGAGAAATGTCGAGCTGTGAACAAATTTAAGATTTAATTTCAATCTGCAGCACACTTTGATATCAACTTAGATGCGAGTATTTCTCTTTAGTTACACAGTCAAAGAAAATACTGTTCTAAATTTAGTTATATTCACAATTGTGCCTGGGTTGCGGGGTAAGCGCTATAAGGTACCGTGCGGTGGCTTCGGCCGGGGGCAGGAGGTTATTCCTCCTAGGTTTTTAGTCCGTAAGAGTCTTTCTCCTCACCCTTGGGCAAAAGAAATCATTTGATAATTTTCCCCTCACAAAAACCCTATATTATGTATATTTATTGGTAGTGATGCGGCTATATTGAGAAAGTGTTTTCACCAAAAAAAAAAATAAGGCAAGGAACATAAAGCTTATTTTTTAATAAAATCTAAATCAAATAATTCATTTCAATAAATCCATTTGTACTTTCCATACTTCAAAAACAGCAAACGTAGATTTTTATAGAGAAAGAACCTCCATCGTCATTATATCAAAAACTTTATGTTGGACAATTAATGCGACCAAAATGTGTTAAGTAAAGAATTTTAACATTTAAAGCTTTTTTTAAACATCATCATTCAATATCTTCTAATTGGCAAAAAACAGCCCCATGACTTCTCATTGCCCGTAAATTCAAGGTCATTTCTACATCTTAAGCTTCCAATGTAACCTTAACCCAACCCTCGGTAAACCGAAACATTATTAGGCCCTCTACCCAGACAAGACATATTTAATTTAAACTTAATTAATTTACTGAGACTTATGTGCACAATTTTGGTACATGCGTGACATGGTACATAATGTCTTCATATATTAAGAATGCGGTAGGTTGCACGAATTATTTAACTAGTTGTTATAAATAAATATAATCTTTTATTAAATAGTCAACAGCCTGTAGAAATTAGTTTTTTTCTATCTAAACATCATAAAGTCTTTAAGTGTCCACTACTAAAAAGGCTTCTTTCCACACGGATAGGAATTTAAACATTAATCGCTACGTTTGCTTAGAGCAGATTGGCGATTTTAAACTTCTAATTAGAAATTGGAATATTTAGGTTTTCTTGCGATGTTTTCCAGTTCAATAATTATGCCAATGATGTTTTAATAATCTAAGAAAGTACATGCAACTGATTATGAGAAGGGTGCGCCTTAACCACTTGGCCATAATAGTTTATCTGCTTAAATGTCTTAGGCTTTTCAATGATAAAAATATTATAACCATCCGCGAAAGCCGTATCGAAGTTCGTAGATGTTCCTAACTTAATGACTTCGATGTCTTCATAGTTACATTAAAGATTTATGTTGGGTTATGGGTTTCTTCGACATGTAACGGTTAGTACATAATATAATGTCCATCCTTACTGGGGCATATGTAAAACCTTACATACAGTCAGCCCGTTAGTTTCATTGTAAAGCCTAATAAAGGCTCCCGTAATATGAAATTAAAATTCTGGATCGTGATGTTTTTGTTTCTATCTTATGTAATACTAGCAAACCTCATTGATGTATGTTTTGCTTAGTCAGAAATCGACTTGTTCTAGAAATTATGTCATTGCCGACGAATTAATCCCATATTTTGTTTTTTTCCCATACTTTATTTAAAAAAACTTGTTCTTATCTGACGAAAACACTTATAGACTAATTATATTTTAACGTTTCAAAAGTACATATTTATTTATGGTTTCATTGGAATATATGATTATGACTTTGCCAAAAATGTCAAATGTCTTAAATAAAACATTACATACTGCACATACATAGCTTCTAATAATCTAAACTCATCCTTGAAAAAACATATAGGTACGCAAAATTATAATTAAACAGCACGCTCTCTTTCGAGAACTGCACATGTAGCAAACATTGTACGACAATAAATTGAATTACAAAGTACACAAAGAGCTAATATAGAAGTTTAAGTGAATCATAATGCATCACGACAAATTGTATGCGTTCAGGTTGCCTCGCTCTAAACTCTAGAGTAACAAACTTGTGCTAAATAAATGCAGGAAGTTTTACGTTAGTGTTCGTCCGGTTTAAGTCTATAGGTAACGTTCCAACTAAGGCCTCGTTTATGCACAGAGCGCGTCGTGTGGTTCGTTTTCCATTGCTTGTAATGTTCATACGTTTGTTTTTGCGTGCGATATGAATCACTACATAGTATACGACAAAGTCGCTTTTGTCTGTCCCTATAATATCCCTGTGTATGCTTAAATCTTCAAAATTAATCAACGTAAAAAAACCGCATCAAAGTGATGCGGTTTTTTTAACAGTAAGAGTGATTGAAGACAAAAGTTAATATGTATAATAACATCCATTAAATAGTGGAGAACTTTAGTATCAGCATTGCATTATGAAGCTGGGGCGGCTAGTATTTAATAAGAATGCGTCGGAGAGCTTTTTTATGAGGGGAAAATCCTCAAATGACTT